CGGTGGGACGTTGTGTCCTTGGGAAAGGCACTTTGCACGAATTTCCCACTTGGCGCGGTTTTTTCGGAGATGGACGTTAAACACGGAGGTCCCGCCCCTTAAATAACCTAATAGTGTTGATAGGGGCGTTAAGCCCTTACCATTTCAATTTTTTTCCAGAAGAAAAGGAACAGGAAGGATAATACAGGATTGAGAAAAATCCCAAGCGTGGAAAGAGAAAAACGAAGATTAAATAAACAAGAAATACAGCCAAAGCCAGAAAAATAGATACCTAATGAAAGTAACCCCCCCCCCCATTAGACATTGCTCTCAAATCCGCTAGTATAGGGAAGAGTACCATCCGAAATGACTTTGATTTTTAAAAACGTTCCTTCCTCTGGTATTTTTATACACCTGAATGAACTTAAATAAATGTTTTCAGAGAATCTAATTTATATGCGCCATGACCTTTAGAGCGTAAGATCCCTCAGTATGGACCTGCATAAATGAAAAAACACCTGTGCGACATTTATAAATGAGTGGAAATAAACTAACGGAACAGCATTAAGCAAGTCTGCGAGAATAATAAATAAACCAGGTTGCTTAAAGCGAGTGACATAATGAAACAACAAGAATAGAGCCATGATCCATAGACGATATATTATCTAGCAAAACTGATACAGCCGGTCATGACCAGAAAAAAAGAAGGCACAAGTAGATCTAGACCTACAAGTGAAAATAGACATTTTTTTCTCTATGTAATCCTCAAACTGAAACTTTGGTCAATGTTCAAAGTTTTACATAAATAAGCATACTCATTCTTCTTTATTTTACGTGTTTATTTTTCTGTCCAGTCTAGCGCTTGTTTTTAGTTTCCAGAAATGTTATAAATAAATAACGAATGGCAGAGAAAATTTTTCCTTACGTGGTTGAACTGTTTTTATTGTTCATATGAAATGTGCTTTATTCTCAGTAATCATGCACTTACACGACTATTTTGCGTTGCAGGTGCCGTAAAACTCCTACTAAACTTAACAACGAACCCTTTTTCCAAACAAACAAACCCGTCAAAAGTAGCAAACACATTAGAATACCTGGGAACTGTCTCGACAAGTAAGCCTATTCTTTACGGTCTCCACGAGGCGTTGGTGATGCGAGGAAAGTCCACGCTTTATTTCGGGATGTCCAGCACTTTTATGGAGATTCGGCGAGTGTTGTGTATCCTGTATTAACTCTTGTTACTCATGGCAACGCGTCCTTCCGGGTCCAAAATTTGTTGTTTTTTTTGGGTACTATTTGCGCAATAACAGCCCCCCAAAACGCGCTGTTTTGACATGCGTATTTTGATGATTGCGTCAAAGATAACTATTAAGTCAACATGCAACCCATGTTTATGTGACAAGCACTTCAAAGTTTGTTTGTCTTTCTTTTTTTTTATCCTCTTCAGTTTCTCATTCCCACTTAGAGCTGCCATTCGCCTTATCTTAATCCATGTATAATTTTATTTGCAAGATAATTTCAGGGTGACCTTACCAGAACGTACCAAATCTGTTTTGTTCAGAGCACGTTTGTATAAAGTAGATTCTATGCGTCGGAAGTCAGTTGGCCCGAATTTTTAAGAAAATTAACTGTAAGGAGAAAAATGACAAGTTTGGATAAGTTAGACAGTTTTTCCATGACATTAGAATAATGATAAGAAGAAGAGAGAAAAAAACCGACGACGATGACAACATTAACTATAGCAAAAAGAATAACTCCACTAATAATGTAAAATCATTATTAATAATGAATAATGGTAATAATCAGGGGCGGCTCGTGGGCCTTAAAAGTGGGCGTGCACAATTAGGTTAAAACAGTTTGAAGTTGTCAAGGGCATGGTAAATGAGATGTTATCTTGATCCTACCTGTTTTGAGAAAATCTATTTGAAGAAGAAGTCTTCCTTTCGTTCTTTTGCTGCAGCAAAAGTGTCCATTATTCTTTTGATCAAGTTGGGCATGCTGTCAGTGATGTCCTTGTGGATCGACATAAACGTCAGTGCGATTTCTAGGATTTTCCCATACTTCTCTAAATGTTGCGTCGAGTTTGTAGTCCTTCAGAGTTGAATAAAGGCCCTGGATTGTACAAACTTGAGCAGACTTAAATATTTCATTGCACTGTAATACTTATAATTCATTTTGTTACTTGATTTTATGCAATACAGTAATATTTCTGTAAACAATCCTAAAAGAACTCTGTAAGAAACGACTTTTGGTAGTCTTGGAATTTGGAGGAGTCGAAGATTGATAGTGCGTTGAATTTTTGCTTTTGCTTCAAGAAACTGTCAAAGTTTGAGAATCTATTTTATTCCATACTTGGAGTAGTTTTAGAATTGCACTTCCGTTCGTAAAATATATCCTTATATTTCACACGTGAAATATTATAGGCTGGCTAAGCTGATATCTCACACGTGAAATATAAAAATTTGCATAATTTACTCTGTGCACTATATTCGCCTTCTACTTCTAGGCTAGATCTATCCCTCTTTAAGCAAAGCAAATCTAGATTCTAATTTAAAAAAAAAAACAAACTTCGCTGCGAATCGCGCTCACAATGGGCACCCAAACAAACACTAGTCTCCCAGTCTCGCTATCCCTGATAAATTTAGATCTAGATATCTAATCGAGTATAGGTGCAAATTCCTTAATTTTTTTTCAAATAGAGTCAAATGATGGGCACCATAAGTAAGTAAGTGACATCTTTTTTCTTGAAAAAAATAATCATTTGTTCCAATGGGTCATCATAATAATGTGGCTTCTCAGGTACCGCTAAACTGGCCTCTAGTACAACTGACGTTTGAGAATTGCTTTTTCCGTCCAGACATTGTAACAGCACACCAGATAAATACAGTGGGTGGACAGTGGACATTAAATTAAGGATAGATCTTGCACAACTTGTAAATAGCGAGGCTAAAAATAGAGGGTAACAATCCAGATTTTTCCCAATTCTCAATCTGACTCCGAGGTGCATGAAAATGTTGTTTTCATGACGAGACTCTAGAATGAATTTTCTTGTTCAGTTCGCTGGTCATTTGAACTTTGTTGATTCGGATGTATTTCGCCAGCTGATATCAGTATGGCATATGATTTATCCTACTTGTGAAATTGTCAGTTGTAATCACTCGTTGAAACTCGTGATTACAACTTGGCAATTTCACTCGTAGGATAAATCATGATCTTACACCAGAACTCACGTAATACATTCTTAATGTCACAGGCCTGTTTGAGGCAATTTCGTTGGTGTTGTAATGCTCCGTCTTTTGGAAGCGTGTTTCTCTGTGGTCTGTTTTGTTGATAGAACATGTACACTGTTTTTAATCTCCTTGACGGGTACTTTAAAGGTGCCTAGAGCTTGTTAGGTTGCTATGGGCGTTTTACTTCTGAATTGGAGGATCCGATAAACAGCGTCAACGTGCGTGAACACTTTGTTGGAAAAGTTCAAAAAGAAGAGAACATTCTGGATACCATCGTGGATGGAATTATCGTCCCACTGCTCAGACTGCATTTCTGCAAGACAAAGCTGGATCTCGCCTTTCCAAATGAAGACTATGCTAATTAGTCGAGACTGTAAAATCCACTTTGTTTCAGATGACCATGGAATATTCCGGTGACAAACGCGTCTGAGAACGCCGACGCATTTTGAAGATTGGGCAAAAAATGTCGAAGAGCCTGCATAGCGTTAGCGAAAAATACCTCTAGGCTCTGTTCCCCGACAAATCACCCTTTTCATGACCGCGAAGGGCGAGTTCGTGAGTTTCACAGAACAAAATACACTCGATAACCTTACACTGTACGTGCCTGTTCTTTCTCACTAATTCGTTATTCTGAGACGTTGCAATGCGATGACCATACGACTAGCTGCGCTGCTATGTCTACTTGTCCGAAAGTATGATACTTAACGGCATTGTTTACGTGCGCTCTTGATGACTCATGACTTTAATGCGTTGTGTCACGTGGACAAGATCAGTGAAACCTGTCTTAGACTACTTGGGTTTGTCAGTTCCAAAAAGCAGACAGGAGAAACAGCAGGCCTACAATGAGTATGTACATGTATTTGCTAACGCTGACTGTAAGCCACTCCACTTTTGGTCGGTTGTTTTATTTTGATATCTTTGGGTTGGTGAGGACCTAATTCTTTCACTCTCTTCTTGTTACTTTGTTTGGTGAACTGATTTTATTTGCAATCAACTTCATCCACCCTGCATGGGAATACACACTCGAGAAATAAAACTTTCACCACTGCACCATTTCAACTTCTAACACAGTGACCTAATTATGTCATGTTGACCTCGCTCAAGTTCAGGGTTACAGAGTTGGGGCCAGAGATGTAAATGGCAAGACAATGGACCAATAGCACATCACTGTGAGCACTGCTGTGGATTGCTCCGTAGCTATCATAATACATGTGCAGGCATTGAATTGTGTAGGCTATCGTGAACTGGTCTGAGATTGCGTTATTTTTAGACTGCCTCTATGGGCTTTGTTCGGCTGGTGCACATCATCTAGGGTGCACATTGAGATTGTGCCGCCTTATTAATATTTATGAAGTAAGAAACTCGGCCAAAACGTCATCGTTGTTTGGGTCGGCCCATAGAGCATTTTCCGAGATAGATTACTCCACTGAACATTTAATCTTTTTACTTTGGTGAAGCACAAGAACTTGATATGGTATAGTAGATGTTGTAGATTTGTAGATGTGGTAATGAACGAATAGACTGTGGCGAAGAATTTGTACGGAAAACTGATTGGATGGTGGAAGGTAAAGGTTCTTTTATTGTCTCTTTGTGGGTGTTGTGCGCATTAACATTTTTAGGCGGCAGTGCACAACCGTGCTCTATAACTAGCCGCCCCTGGCAATACATGTAATATAATGATAATGATGATTAAAGTGCTTTACACTAATTTTCCTCACTTCCCCCAGGTGAGAATAGGTGCCCGGCTATAGGTACCGAAATATCTTGTCAGTGTGTTAGTGTTCTAGTCCCTATAAAATGACAGCTTGAACTGTACGCTCCCCTGGAAGTTGAGACTGTCTCAGACTGCTATCACGCCTGCTGGGGTAATAATATCTGTCACGACGCCGTGGAATCAGGCGCTTGTAAAATTTTGGTTATAATAGAGTTATAGTTATCATCATAACGCTTGTTCATTTGCCTTACATTTGGCGAAAAGTTAACACCCATCTGTCTTGAATAGAAGTCGAGATATTTGTGATTGAAGGTGATGGGGATCGTCTGGTCTTAGAGGTTATATTAGCGAGAAAATCGCCGCCTAAGTTTGGAGACTTGCAAAGGTTCAGTGTAATTTTTAAATATTTTAACAAATAGCGTTTTTAAAAGGACATAACAAGGTGTTGCGTGTTGAGGCCCCCCCCAAGAAAAATCGAACAAAATTGCTCAACACCCACAAATGATGCGAATTTCTTTGATTCCATTGTTTTAACGCCCCCCTGATTTCAACACGCTGCCTCACATATTATAGTAGATTGCAAAGTGCACAGAGCTTGCTGTTGCGCTATACAAATTCTATCTATCTATCTATCTATCTATCTATCCATCTATCTATCTATCTATCTATCTATCTATCTATCTATCTATCTATCTATCTATC